GACGCGCTGATGAGATCCAAAAAGATCGAAATCGCGATCCGCGTCTGGCAGTTTCGACAGAATACAGACCACTTCGAATTATTTTATTCGATTAAGCTAACGTGCCTATCACGTTGAGGTTAGCTACGCCGGGATTCGTTTTCAACAAGTAGATATCCACATAAAGTGGACCTTGCTGGAGCATATGTAATCCTAAAATGTAGCATCGTGCTACAGATGGCGTTTACTGCGCCATTTGTAGTATTTTCTAAAACGCACTGTTAAGACAGCAAGTAAAAGTTGGTCTGTGTTCTGTCGGAGCTGCCCGCGACGCGCTGATGAGATCCAATAAGATCGAAATCGCGATCCGCGTCTGGCAGTTTCGACAGAATACAGACCACTTCGAATTATTTCATTCGATTATAAGCTAACGTGCCTATCACGTTGAGGTTAGCTACGCCGGGATTAGTTTTCAACAAGTAGATATCCACATAAGTGGACCTTGTTGGAGCATACGTAATCCTAAAATGTAGCATCGCACTACAGATGGCGTTTACTGCGCCATTTGTGGTATTTTCTAAAACGCACTGTTAAGACAGCAAGTGAAAGTTGGTCTGTGTTCTGTCGGAGCTGCCCGCGACGCGCTGATGAGATCCAAAAAGATCGAAATCGCGATCCGCGTCTGACAGCTTCGACAGAATACAGACCACTTCGAATTATTTTATGTATTCATAGTTTGGGCGCTACAACATGTTACCGGGTATGTACGAGATCCTCTTGCAGGGGAGATTGAACATCTTCAAACCACTCTAGGAAAAAGAACTACTGAAGATGTCGTCCATGTAAGTCGATGTATGTTTAGTTTTTCCGAAAACTTCAGAAAATGACTTGATTGTATATGCCATTCTCATTTACATACCTTTCTTAGAAATAATTCTACAAAAGGAACATTAAGTGTTTTTATAAATCCTAAATTCACTTATTTTACAAGTACATTGAGAACGTGTTTCACGTTAGACCTTCTCTAATAACGAAGCACTACAGTAATAGAAAGATAAGAATACTTACTAAGGGAGAATAGAAGGCTGAGCTGTCGACCCCTATGCTAGGATAGGGGTTCTGATCTGTAGAAGGATAAGGCGTGCCGTAAACCCCGACACTTCGAGGATATTGTAAAGCAGCCAAACGCGCAGAGTCGTACTGGCAGGAACACACGCTTTGACCGGTAACCGGGTCCGTTACAAGAGGTCTTCCCGACTCGCAACATTGCGTCGGCCCGGTACTCGACGTACCCCCTGGCGACAGAGCACCCACCGGACCGCATGCCGAACCCCCTGGGCTTAAAGAACTACCACCAGACGCCGGCGACGATGATGATGTTGTCGTTGTTTGACCAGATACTAGTAACTGAAAGAAAACGAGATACAATCGTTAATAAAAAAAATATTCGAAAATGTTTTACAAACGAGTGAAAATTCATTGGATTATTTCGATGGGGAATTAATATTGTGATAAGAACTACAGATAGAATTGATGCTTAACACTTTAAAAAGTCTACCTTTTACATTAACAATACTAAGTTTAAAATGATTTCTTGCAGTTTGCTGGAATGCGGCTTGAACAGATTGCTCTGATTACTATACCATATTTTACCGTAATTTAAAGAGGAACGGAAACGTAGTAGGATCGTTTAAGTTGATAATTTTTCTTCAAAGTTGGAAACTATTACAATACGTCTTATTATTATTTTCGAAGAAGAAGCGTTCGAAATGTGGTGTTACAGGCGAATGATGAGGATACCGTGGATAGTGAAGGTTAGAAATGAAGAGGTATTAGTAATAGGAGAACAAAGTACTCTCTGGAAATCAATACAAAATAGGCGAGATGGGTTGGTAGGACACCTTCTCAGGCATGAAGGTCTAGTCAGAGACATATTAGAGGCAGAAACAGGAGTTAGGAGGAGTGGGATAGACCTAGATTAGATTACTGTTCACAAATAGTTACGGATGTAGGTTATTCTAGTTTTAGGGAAATGCGAAGATTAGCTCAGGATAAGAAAGAGTGGAGGTGCGTGTCCAACCAGACTTAGGACTGACGACCTTATGATGATGAATATATTTCGCACAGAGTAAATTTAGTTTTTTCAAAGTATATCAATTTTGTCCATAAGTGACCGATAAATTACATATTTGCTTCCATTAAACTTGTCGCCTTCCTAAATTGACCCGAACATAATCTACTACCACTTTTTACTATGTTACAACAACGATTGGATTTTTCGTAAACAAATTATAAATTGAATATTAAACAAGTTTTATTACTGTTTCATGTATTGAAATGTATTTTTTTTTGACTACTTAAAAATTGCTACGCTAATTTTTCCGTATGAATCGATTGTGTTTGTAATTAACATAAACTAAACAAAGACATGATTGCAAAACAGATTATTCCTGTTAATATTAATGTTGGTTATCGTAGTAAATTTGCAAATAATGGTTTAAATGGCCATTACTGGTTCGTTAAAATGTAATGAACATATGTTGTACTAGAATATGCCTTATCGAGACATATGACACCCACTCTAGCTTGCAACTGATGTATTGCCGATGAGCCCGAACTGACATAATAATATACATTTGTGTTATCTCTGTACATGAAATAACCGTATCAACATTCCCATTTAATGAAAAACCAACATCAAAGCTTGAACTATTATGAGTTAACCGAAAAAATTAAAAATTCTAATTACTTATCGTTAATGAAGACAACAAAGCTTTGATGATGAAATTGTGATTAATTTTTTAGAAAACGTTAAATTAACTGAATCAGCTCATTTTTGACACGAAATCTAAAAAAATTGTGAAATTAGATTTAAGTTAAAATGTAACCCTTTAATAAATGGAAAATCTGATCCTGTTTTCCACTCAGGCGTGATTGAAACGGTTAACTTTCATCAAATATGACTAATGACAACTTTGAAACAAACCAACATCATTGAAACCAGTTCACCAAGCAAGCAAACAAAAGCTTATCGCAAGCCACTGTTTGCATGGGTGGCTAGAAATTTATAAATTTGGTGATAAAATCGAAAATAATTTATCTTAAATCATTTTTGACTTTTTAAATTAGTTTAATTGACGACCTCAAATTAGTTTCTCGACCGCCCCAACCACAAACTAAGGAATATTTTGAAATAGGCACGATATTCACGGTCGGTGCCTATTGTTACGAAATTGTTTTCAGAGCTTGATTACCATGGTGCTGGGCATCATCAAAATCCTACTCTCTAGGTTGAAGTTGTGTTTCCCACTTTGACAGGCATGCTCAAGGATTATTATTGATACGTTGGAGGATATCCTTCACAGTTGTTGAAGAAATGTTGAAAGACTTATCCAGCAAGAAGAAAAGTAGCGTCAGTAACCACACTCCATACCAAGTGGTAAAAATTAATTAAAAAATGTATTCTAATTCGGACATCTGTGTTGATGCCGTCGGGGTAGATCAGCCCCACTGTCTTCCTTATTTGCGCCACAGGGAGGAGGATTTCCAAATAATAAATATACAACCGTATTCATACTTTAAATTCGTGAGATGATAGATACTGTGTTTCATTATTAAGAAAAAAAAATGTGGAAAGTCAATTTCAACATTTATTAATAGGTAATGGTAATTCCTTGCTTTTTACAATAAAGTTACTCGAATTCAAATATGTATATAGGTAAATAGCACAATTACTTATCATATTCGTCACTCCTAAGACTTTTCTTGGCCACGCACCTCCACTCACTCCTATCCTGAACTAATCTTTGCATTTCCGTGAAACTAGAACATCGCACATCCTTCACTGTCTATTTGTCAACAGAAATCTAATCTACGTCTACCTCTACTCTTCTTAAGTCCTAGTTTCTAACTAGTCCTTCATGCCTGAGAAGACGTCTTGTCAACTTATCTCGTCTATTTCTTATTGATTTCTACTACTCTTTCTAATACCTCTTCATTTCTAACCTTCTCTGTCCACAGTATCCTCATCATTTGCTTATAATACCACACTTCAAACGCTACGTCAACATTTAGCACCCGTACAGAGCCGTGCTCGAGACATAAACCTTTAACTGCTGATGTCAAAAAATAACCATACTGCTCGTAGTGTCACGACACGAACTACTGTAGGGTGACGGTCACTATGGAGCATTTACTGAACATAATATTCAACTTTCTATACGGTCAGCGATCCCCCTAAAATTATCCACTATTTATGAAATATTACCCTCTCTATAGTGCCGACTGTTTCTAAACCACTTAAATTTATACATAGATATTATACACTTTTCTTTAATGCTGTTTTGCGTGTTGTACCAGTACCGAGGTCCTTGTCACTGACTTTCATGTGCACAAATATCGTTCGTCATGTTATTTTACAAATATACGGTCTCGACTTGAGAAAACTCGCACGCACACACACACACACACGCGCACAAACAAATATCAGTCCACATACTCACTACACAAGGATACGTATGCGAGCACAAACATGTCCTTTGGTACTGCATAATCTAAAAGCCCAAGTGTTCGGTTACACAGAAACCCATGTCCAGACTCTATTTATTAAACAATCTCTTAACTTTTTAAAATATTGATTGCGCGATATATTAAACGCGGAGCGGCAGAGTTTAAAGAAACTGGATGCGTTCTGTGTTTGCCTTTCCTTGTAACGTGATTTAGTACTTAATTTAAATCATCAATTTATAATGGCGCCAAATATTTACATTCTTCTNATTATTTTAAAATTTAAAAGGTTACAAATTCGTCTTTCAGGTACCTACTGTGTAGGTATTGTTCGTGTATGTTAATTTAACAACACTGTAAGCAATCGAAACAAGCAAAGGAAAGCATATATGTATGTATATCTTTATTATTAATGGGGCATACTGTACTATTTCATAATTAGCATGTACCGAATGGTCAATTACAACTGGCAACAATTAATTGCTGCTACTTACAGTGTAAAGCGATTTGCAGCAAATTAGTACGTTTATGTTCGTTAACTTTCTATAACACAAATCTAGACAATATATATATATACATATAGGCACCTACACAAATGAGTACTCATGGCGTGTCTGTATGTGTCTGATCATTGAATACTAAAAAGTCTTTCGGATATTCTCGATTCATGCCAGTTCATAACACGCATAATATATCGTATGCAATGTGTACCATTGAAACATTAGTAAAGTCAAACTGTGTGGGTAATTAATAAATACAAGCATAAATGTATTACAACAGCGTATTAATGTACAGTGATAAGCAATAGTGGTAGAGCCAACCACCGGCGCTGTTCGAGTTGCGCCTTTAAATTCTTTTACAGAATCATTGTCCTATATCACAACAGCCAACATAAGTGAAAACACGTAGTATAAGGATATCAAATATGTAATTCTATTTATTTCACTAATTTTTTTTTTGAAAAAAATGACATATTTTATAACTTAAGCCTGAGGATGACTTACTTAGTCGAAACGTAGCTCTTATAAAACAAAATAAATATTAGAAAAAACAGCTAGTCGGTTATTGGCAAAATTAAATTCATATTACAAATTAAAATAATTAATCACCGACAAAATTAAATTCTACAAACTTAAATAAGTTTATCTTTTAATTTCGCTGAACGTAATATACTAAATGCGTTACTCATTGAAGTGAAATTTCTTTGGGATCGATGAGAGTAAAATCTCAAGGCCATGAAACGACACGTTTTGCAACGTTTTGTCTCGCGACGCGATGATAGGTTATGAAAATAGAAAGGCGCGCATGCGCATATCGATAATACAGTCAGCTGTTAGCGACGGGCATCTCATATATTATTGTATACTGTGTATTCAATATACTATAGTGCTAAATTAATGTTTTTTCTTGGTTAATTATTTTTCCATTTCCTTTATTACTGCACTCACATCCATTATAATGGCTTCTATATTTCTCAGTTAATTTTAATCATTCAGCAGGACAAACAGGACGATATCTACGTTAAGGAGGGTAATATATCATGCAGGTACATATATCGTGGCATATCTGTAAAAAAAAACCGATAGCACGAACGCAATCTGTTTTCTGGATTGATTTTCATAATTACAGACTGCCTACCTTTTCAATTTTAACTCGACCGCAAATGACATCGGTCAGTTAAAATTATTACAGGA